AAATCTCTAGTTGATATTAGGAAGTGACATGTGCTAACAGATTGAGTGAATCTGAAGTTATCTTTGTGCTTCTTTACCAGGAATTCTGTTTGTTGTTTTTTTTGTCAAACACAACTAATGTAACAGTGGTTTTGTCTTCCCTGCTGTGATGGCACTGAAACCAGTTGGGTTTTTAGTCTTACAGAAATCTCAAAACATCATTGTATAGATCAAACATCTCAACTACTGGTTTGAGTTTGTATGAAAAAAATGAAACATATTTTTGATTTATGAAAGGCAGGTCCTGCTTGACAAACCTGGTCTACTTCTTCGACAAGGCGACCTGCTTATTGAATAAGGGAAAGGCTGTGGATGTTGTCTACCTTGACTTCAGCAAGACCTTTGACACTGTTTCCCACAGCATTCTCCTGGCAAAACTGGCTGCTCAGGGCTTGGATGGGCACACGCTTTGCTGGGTAAAAAACTGTCTGGATGGCCGGGCCCAGAGAGTTGTGGTGAACAGAGTTAAATCCAGTTGGTGGCTGGTCACAAGTGGTGCCCCCCAGAGCTCGGTTTTGGGGCCACTCCTGTTTAACATCTTTATTGATGATCTAGACGAGGGGATCGAGTGCACCCTCAGTCAGTTTGCAGATGACCCCAAGTTGGGTGGGAGTGTTGATCTGCTGGAGGGTAGGGAGGCTCTGCAGAGAGACCTGGAAAGGCTGGAGCCATGGGCTGAGGCCAACTGGAGGAGTTTCCATAAGGGCAAATGCCGGGGGCTGCCCTTGGGCCACAACAACCCCCAGCAACGTACAGGCTTGGGGAGGAGTGGCTGGAGAGCTGCCACTCAGAGAGGGACCTGGAGGGGTGATTGACAGCCAGCTGACCAGGAGCCAGCAGTGTGCCCAGGTGGCCAAGAAGGCCAATGGCATCCTGGCTTGCGTCAGCAATAGCATGGCCAGCAGGGACAGGGAAGGGATCTTACTGTACTGGGCACTGGTGAGGCCGCCCCTCGATTCCTGTGTTCAGTTTTGGGCCCCTCACTACAAAAAGGACATTGAATGACTCGAGCGTGTCTAGGGAAGGTCAGCGAAGCTGGTCAAGGGTCTGGAACACAGGTCGTATGAAGAGCGGCTGAGGGAACTGGGGGTGTTTAGTCTGGAGAAGAGGAGGCTGAGGGGAGACCTCATCACCCTCTACAGCTCCCTGAAAGGAGGTTGCAGAGAGCTGGAGATGAGTCTCTTTAACCAAGTAGTAAGCGATAGGACAAGAGGGAATGGCCTCAAATTGCACCAGGGAAGGTTTAGGTTTGATATTTCCTTCCACAATGGGTTGTTAGGCGTTGGAATGGGCTGCCCAGGGCGGTGGAGTCCCCATCCCTGGAGGTGTTTGAGTAGATTCGACTTAGCGCTGAGTGATCTGTTATAGTTGAGAACTGTCAGTGTTAGGTTAATGGTTGGACTGGATGATCTTCAGGGTCTTTTCCAACCTAAACAATTCTGTGATTCTGGATGGACAGGGTCTGAACTGACCATAACAAAGTGATTCTGTCTGTTGTGTATAGTGAGTGCAAAGTCTGTTTCCTCTGGAGAGGTCTTGCTGTGGGCACTAAGGCAGGAAAAAAGCCTGTAGGTGGAACCTCAGTGCATCTATTTGTTTTTTTGTAGAGTTCTCTTTTGTAGCATGGAGTGCTGAAATCTCCTGAAATGAAATGAAAGTGCTAGAGAAAAAGTGTATTGTTGTCACTGCATGATGAAAACAGCTTTGTCTGTATGTATTTTGCATTGAAAAAGATGGAGAAATAAGTATTTTAAATTTAAAACTGTCAGTACAAGTCACCTTCTACTTCTTAATGGCTTCAATGGAATTGTATATTTCATTTCTAGTTAACACTGTTAACAGTACTGAGTCTATGCATTGGATTCATGTAAAAAATTTTAAATTTTTAAAACTGTTCAAGTAGGTTTTGCTTCATGCATGCACTTGTTCTGTTGTTGGTCTTTGCAAGATTGGCCTGTCTGCTTCAGTTGGCAAGCAAAGAGCAGGAGAAGTACTCTATGGGCTCACTCTTCTGGGAAGCAGAAATGATACAAGCAATGGTTGAAAGTAGCTGAGTAGGTGCTACTGTTACCTTGTGTCTCAGTCCAATTTTCTGACAAGACTGTCATCTAAAAATAAATTAAAATGGCAAAATCTGTTTCTACCTCCCATTCCTCTTCAGAAATAATTCCTTCTGTCTGCTTAGCACCATAACACAGGATCTGTTAGTAGGATCAACAAAGCAGTTTAAAGTGAAGTTCCATGAGATAAGGTCTTTCTGAGAACTGATAGATTTCTTGCATTATTCATGTTGGAATTTAATTGTGTTTCAGCTCATAAGGTCTCTGTAATATTGTCTACCTTTTGATAAAGCCATCTAAATTTATTTGATTTCTTGGATCTGGATGAACCATGATGACCGCTTTCTGTAGGAGAAAATTATAAAATATAGACACATTTTTATTTATTCATGGAATGTGTTAAAGCATTTTTCCAAGGAAATATTAAGTTGAAAATCTAAATAAGCATACCGATATATTGGGTTTTTTCGAATTCCTGTTTTCTTTTGTCGTCTTTATTTTCTTTCATGTCTACCATTACCCTTCTTGCATATGAAGATATAAAGATCAGCAGCTTTTTATCCAAAAGGAACCAAAGAAACAGTTAACCATTTAGCTAATTGTTATTCCATAGCCAAAACTAGTTAACGTAGATATTTTCGCCAAAGTTTTCTTTATTCGTTAACTTGGCCTCTGGAACTGCCTGTAGCTTGAAATTTCAATCTATCATGCTCTCCAGCAATTTATCGCATGTTCCAGCATACTGTCAGGACAGCCCAAAATAAGTCCCCTGTGCTTATGTTTCCTTTTTATTTGAAAAACATAGTTTTAGTCCTAAGCCAAGCTTGGCTATAGTTTTTGCATGTGCTCAGTCACAATTATAGTGATGATAAAATTTCTGCTTTATATAAATCATCTTTTATATAAAATTAAATATATCTGTCCTTGAAGGGTTTTTTATCTTGTCAAAAATTGCACTTAGCCTAAACTTTGCTTTAAATATTGGATTTAAGAGCTCACTAGATCTTCTGTGGTATTGCAGTCCTGTGAAGGCTTTGCAGGTCTGTGCATGGAATTATATAGACCTCATATGCTAAGTTTGGAGAATTTCTCTTCAAGTGATTGTGCTTTTTACCTGCCTTCATTATTTTATTTGAAAAGTAGTTTTCTTTTAGAAAAAAAATCTGAAAATACAATTACAGTAAAATAATGAAAAATACTATAATGAGAATTGGATCTCTTCATAATCTAAATTTCTGAACATTACAGAGATAAGACACTAGGAGAGAAGGAATTTCACAGTGTGATTCTATGCTGCTGATTCCACTGATCTTCTGTGTATGGACTGTATATTTCTTATTACTTCTTATCATTAGATGACATTAGGTTACAGTGTTTATTTTATGGAAATCAGTTTTCTGTTTCATCACACACACAAATTTTTATTTTGCTGAATTTCAGTTTAACCCATTCAGCATCATATTTTTTTTTTTTTTAAAGCAACAACAGACATAAAATTTTCCCTTAAAAGAAGGGCACCAAGTTAAAATCTTCATTAATGGCATTATACTTCTAAAAGCTGAAAATATATCACACTGCAAAATGCAGTACAATAGTGGCAGATTTTAGTGCTCCTCCTATTTCTCCACTATCTTTTTAAGAAGCTGCTGTAGTTTCAGTAATTGAGCCAAACAGTACAGCTCTCCCCCTGCTCTTTGGCCATCCTCCCCACTCCTGTCAGGTTAGTAGGTTGATGTTTCTTTCCTATTGCCTACAGATTTTCAATGAGTGATTGATTGCTGGATACAATTTATATTACTAATGAATGCTAGATCTGTGTCATAGAAACCGTGCAGCTGCTGGCTAGTCCAAGGCTAGTTTCACTGCAGATAACCTTGGATTATTATCAGTTATCACAGTTCAGGATTATACTTTGACTTTGCTACTGCTACAATTACATATCCTCCAAAGAAAAGCGAGTTTTTCTAGCTTCCTGAATTATCTTATGACTGTAGCCATGAAAAAAGCAGTTTCTGTGCAATTAAAAATTTTTGTCTGTTCTGATGATTCAAAAATTAGCATAATACAGTGCATTGGAGGGTTCCCACTGCCACTGGTTTCATACCCAGATTTTTTCTTTAAATTCATCAACAGTTTGTCACTAACAATTCCTCTTAAATCTTGAAAAGCAAAAGATGTTTGAGCATTTTTTTTTTTTTTTTTTGGATAGCAGGACACTATCAACGGTCACTACTTGTTATGCATTAAGTTTGCAACATACCTAATTTCTCTGATTATAGATTTAAAAAATGCTCTTGAACCATTTTGGAAGGTTAGTGTCAATGTTGGTAGACTCAGATTTGGTTATATTGTGTTCTATTAGCTGTGGTCTATATGCTGAAACAAAGTTGGTGGTCAGCACCAGTCCCTAGCAATGCATATGAAGAGGATAGAAGTTAAATTGCTAATAAGTTTCCAGGCAAACTTCAATCACTTAATGAAGGTGCAAAGGAAAGTGCAGTTAAAGTCAACTATTTTCTAAGAGAGGATTGGAAAAATCAGTTCAGAGATGCAAAATCTTATATTGTGAATAAAAAGATAGAAAACAATTAGAAGCAATTTAAAATCAATTCACTTGACTGTTAGAGGCTTTATCTTCTTTTAGGATGAATAAAGGTGCAAATTTGGAAATGTGATTACACTTGCATAGCTATTAGTTACAATATTAGGTTGTTCTAAGAAAAGTCTCTTTTCTAATCAATGCATGACCTTGGAAGTGGTATAAGGCTTTTGAACACACTCATTGTAGAAGTATCCAGATGGGGGTGCAAAAATCTGTATATAGCTAGTCAAAATATTTCATAAATAAAGTTAAATTGTAAGAAAATTAAATGTTAGAATAGAGTTAGATTAACAGTGTACCACGACAATCAGAAAAAACTGTAAGATTGCAGTTTTTCTAGCTTCTTCTAGAAATTGGATTTTCTTACTCCTCTTTCTTCTGGGCCCCTATTTGCAAAAATTTCTTTTTTTTTTTTTTTTTTTTTTTTTTTCAGTAGAACTTCCCTGGCTGTCTTGCTTCTGGCTTTCCATGTAGAACAGAGGGAAGGAGAGGTGTTGATTCGCAGGAGTGCTTTTAAGTAATAGTGAAGTCTTGATAACCTACTTCTTGTTAATCAGAAAACAATCTGAAAGTGTAAGGAGTGGAAATCAGGAATTGCAACTTTGATTTTCCATTTGGGTAGGCTTCACTGATTAGATGATTAAGCCACAAACCAAAAGGCACTGTTAAAACTACTTTGTTAGTTTGTGTGGTCTTTAGAAAAGAATACTTTCTTTTGGTTTTCGGAAATAGTCTTCAGAAATGTACTACTTTTCGTAATTTACATAACTCCTTCACTCGTCTTCATGCTTATGCAGTATGCTAACTCTTTTGAACCCTTTTTGGCATCCTGAATTTTTATGCAGTCAGAGGCTTTGCATTTTGCTTTCTTTCATATGTTTGGAAATGCTGATTGTGGGTTCCTTCATTTAGTTGCATATAAATTGATACAAGTATGTTTTTGTCTTTGAAGGTGATGTGCAAAAGGGAGAATTAGTCTGAGTGTTCACGCTTGTTTTTTTGGTATATGAAATTATGAAGTCTTGTTCATAACTGGAAATTGAAAAATTATTCCTTCTTAGATTAAGTATATTTTCATTTTGGTATGGGAGTGGGTTTTGTTTTATGAGTGAAGGTTTTGTTGCATTGTGACAGAAGTCTAATGGTTAGAATATGTATATACTGCCTGAAAGAGGAGAAAATTTTGAAATTCTTAGTTCTTCTGTTTATTAGTTACTGAACTTGGAAGATGTGATTGTGTTTTCTAGGTATCTCAGTAAACACGTACTGCTGGATGTCTTCTGGTCATCTTCAACTTGATGCCTGGTTATGGGAAATGAAGGGTTAGAGAGCTGATTTAGGAAATCTTACATCACTTAATGTGCTTCAGTGAAATTGGTGAACAGCATATGTAAACCCCACAGTTGCTGAGAAGTTAACTAAGATTTTTACAGTCTGAATTGCTCATCAGCTTATGGAAGTTTTGTTTGTTTTGTGTTTCTGATGTCAAAATACTTGTTTATTTTGCATGTGATGTAACCAAGATGATTTCTAGAGTATCTGCTAGTTACCAGTGGGCCTCATAGAAAAATACGTGGAGCTATATGATAATGTTCTTTATTCAATTTACTGAAAAGATTTTTAGCTTGATACCTGTAAAAGTTTTCAGGAAAAAAAATTGGTTTGTAATTATGCTCTGTATTCTGAATGAGGGTTGTGTATGTTCTTTTGAGTAACTTATGTGAATTATTATGACTGTACAATTAACCTTTTGAGCAGTACTGACTCAATTTTCATTTAACAAGTCAAGTCGTACAGGAAATATATTATTGTATCTAAGTGTATGGGGGAAAAAATGTTTGACTGGACCTCTTAAGGTTTGTTAAGCGGTATCAGATAAAGGCTTAACTACTATTTTTGTTCTGTTGCAGGGATTTCTCCAAAGTTAATATCCTGGTACCTGGTGCTGGGCTAGGTAGATTGGCGTGGGAAATAGCTATGCTCGGTTTTGCTTGCCAAGGAAATGAATGGAGCCTCTTTATGCTCTTTTCTTCTAACTTTGTACTCAACAGGTATATAGCTTATGTTTTCCTTGCTGGTTGAAACGTAGGGAGGCAAAATTATAAATGAGAAAAAACTTGAATAAATGAAATTCATAAGAATAGATTTGTAAGTCCTAATACAGCACAAACAACCCAGTTTTAGAAAGTTTTAATGAAAAAAAAAAAAATCAGTGGGATAAATGGGGGAGGGAAGCATTGTCTCTGAGTCGATGAAATTATAGCAGGAACCATGGCTTTTAAGTTATGTGACTTTAAATCTCTCGATTCTACCACAGATTTTCTATGCAATCTTGAATAGGTTTTATGATTTATTTCACGCCTCTTTCTGTAAAATGCACACCTATCTCACTGGTGCCAAAGACTGGTTAGTATGTGCATGGTACTTAGTGGTGATGATTAACATTTCCAGTTACTGAAGTGTTACATTCCATACTAAAATTTTAGACACTGTTTTGACATGAAGAACCACCAAAGCATGCTGAACCACTTCTTAAGCAAGTAGCTAAAATAAAATAGTTCTACAATCACACTGAGGTACTAAATTTGAATATAGTCAATTTCACTTTATAGGTTTAACTGAGAGTGACATTTCTGTATTTGTTATTCTGTCACTAGCATTGGAAATCACTGGTTTCATAATGAATTTGTTAGGGAGGAAAGAAGGCAGCAAATGAATACGGTTCTTTTAAGAAGGATGGGAAGACTTATAGGTGGGCAACTGGTGGTGTGGAAATTGGTACTTGGTTCAGAGATACAGAATGTGCCAGTTGTGAAATGATACACCTTTGCGGAATGCACCTAAACTATTGCCTTGTATCCTATACCAAGGTGTTTTGGAGCCTTCTTGATAGACTGATTGTCCACAGCAGCTGTGATGATCTTAAATCTGTTAGAGCTTACTGTTCAAAAACAAGGAGAAAACACTTTATTATGTCTGCTGCATGTCTACTTAAAGCAGTAGTGGTCAGTGTGATTAAAATAGTTATTTGCTAGAGGTTTATTTGTTCTTTTTCTTACATTAATTCTTAAATGACTCTCATCTGGTGGTGAAATTGCATATTATAGTTGAGCTGATCTAACACCTTGCAGCTATTGATGTCTTCTTGTCCTTAGCTGTACAGCCCTGCTAGCTCTTACACACTCTGGAACTTCTGAAATTATTCAAAGCAACATAAAAGTATTAATTTCCCATCTTTATGAGTACTGGTCAGCTGTCATAGTGGTTCAAATCTGAAAGTTAACTTCACCCCTAACCAGCTCTGACATGTTTTTTGTCTTCCTTGAATAATGCATCTTTGGCCTATATGTAGAATTCTCCTGAAGATAGTAATCATTCTAAGCATCTAATGCTCCTGTGGTGTTTCCTTTTTATATAAGATATTTAGCAAAGAGGTATATATGCATTAGACTTGCTAACTATTATATTTTAGACAGCAAAATTGAGTGTTGCTCAGCTGCTGTAATCTTTATCTTTGCTGGGCAGTTTCTCAGTTGTGAAGTTTCCATGTAAGCATGGAAGAGAATACTGCTAACCTGACTGAATTTCAGTCAATTCAATTGAAGTTCAAGCATTCCTTTCTGCCACATACAACTGTGGGCTTGGGATGTCTATTAAGGAAGTTTTAGGGACTTTTAGGTCTTTCATTTTACTGTTCAGTGGCTGTTCCCAGTTAGCCTTCTGAAATGATCATGTTTGCCTTCCTGGCACAGGAAGAAACAGCAGTGACCACTATGAGCTGAAGATGCCAGTTAAGGAAGCACGGTAGGAAAGAAGGATTTTGCAAATTAGAACTACAGTCTTAATTAATTTTTGTTTTCAGTTGATAAAAGCATGAGGATTTTGCTAACACGTGCTTACAAATTGGACATACCTTCTTTCTCTGGCCTTGGTATATTTTTAGGAAGACAAAGTACTCTCTTGAGTGTCAAACCAACTACTACAGTGGGCTCCCAGATGTGGTACAGTGACTTAAGTCTTCTGTATAATTCTCTATAAATTTTAAACTTTTGTTACTGTGGATAAAGTTGCATAGCATGCATAGCAATCTTTTTTATTAAATCGAGAATTCCTTTTGGGACTGTTTGAAAGTCTACACGAATATACTTTGTGCTGGGAAAAGAAAAATACAGGGAGATTTGTGTTCCCTTTAGAGCTCCGAAATAAAACCCTTTATAACCCCTTTCAGATCTTTTATTTTCTTTATATTGCTTTTGGGGAAGCTTTTTGTAATGTAAAAGAAAAGTGTTCTGAGGATAATATAGATTGACTAGGAGCATAATGAGAATGCTAGGATGGTTAACACAACTTTTGTTGGCCAACATGGGGGTTTTTTGGTTTTCTTGTTGTGGTTGGGGAGTTCTTGGGTTTTGTTTCTGCCTTTTTCTTCTTTTTTAACCAAAATAGAAAAGCCTTTTTTAAAGAAATGATCCCCATGTTAACAGGGCTTTTTCTCTGCTTTTTTCCCTTCAACTGCATATATCTGATTTTTTTTTTTATTCCATACATACAGAGACAGTTGATGAGCACAGTATACTGCTGCTCAATTACAGGTTTCTTTTGTATTATTTTTTTACTGCTGAAAAACAAATATGACATGAAGGAAGTAAAAAATGTTATTTCAAAGTCTTTGCCATAGATGTTCTCTATCCACGAGTCAAAAGACTGCACTTTCTACAACCTGGTAGATTACTTACAGTTTATGAGGTGTTTGGTGATGTGTTTATGGGACAGATGGGTCTTCCATTTGTGCCTGAAATAAAATGGCTTCACTTCTTAATTACAAACTGATTTTACAAGACTGTGGATAAAGCTGCTTTTTATACTTTAATGCTATAATACTAATGCTAGATCAGCTTTTAAAATTTGACTTGGTTGGCCATGTCAATTCACAAATTTTAAAGCCATGTTTACTCGGCATAGTTGCAACAAATGCACTCCAAATGTTATTAACTTAAAATGACATCTAGTGCAAAAACTACTATCCTTTGCAAAATAGAACTTATTTATTTTTTGAAATATAAAAGCAGCCTTTTAGTTAGCATCTGAAAAATGTTTCTGTTTTGCTGTGCTTCAGGATCTCTATGATTATGGTTCAGAAAAGACAGAAGAGTCTAGAATGATAACAAATGTTTCCAATAAAATTCATGGAACTAATGTTACTATTTTTTTTTTAATAGAAAAATATCCAGAAAGGCTTAATTTTACTGAATATACTAATTCATAATTTTCATTAATCCTGCAAAGGAATCTTGCCCATTTTTTTTTCAGTGGATAAGTCAGGTGGAAATGGTAAAAAGTGGGAAAATAAAATTTTTAGAATGGAAAAAAGGCAGTTATTTTGTGGTGATAATTTGTGTGTCAGAGTAAAATTGGGGTTTTGATCAATCTGTAGACTAATGGGCCATCTTCAGTGTTATGAGCTAGGTAACAGTCCTTTAGAAAGCATGTAGCATTTGCAAGAATATCAATAAAACATGAATGTTGGTGAAAGTCTTGACTCCTTTTCTAGATAATAGATAAGCAATTAGTTGCAACTGAACTGTGCTGATTTCTGTATTTTGCAGATGCTCTGAAATTAACTCACATAAGCTTTATCCCTGGATTCATCAGTTTAGCAATAACAGAAGATCTGCTGATCAGATACGTCCAATTTATTTCCCTGATGTTGATCCTCACAGTCTTCCTTCTGGTTCAAACTTCTCTATGACAGCAGGGGATTTTCAAGAAATTTATTCCGAGTGCAGTGAGTAAATGCAAACTGCTAGGCTATCCATGTAACTGTACCTTCAGTGTATTTGTTACAGGACAGATAATCACTACAAATGGGAGGGAACTTTGTCTACAGGCATTAAGGAAAAAGTACTAACTGTAGCAAGATGTTCTTATGCCAAATCATATTTTCTTTTCAGTTAAAAAAAAATATGGACACCTCCTTTCCTAACAGGACGTTGCAGTAGTTTCTTTGAGTAAGACAGCATATTAAGTTTACAGAAAAGTTTAGTTGATTAGTTGGTTTAGAAAAGTGATGTTACAAAAGGAACAATGTAACTAGTCACTTCTCTTCTTTAGTATAAAAAGTAGAAATATGAGTATTTTTTTGTTGATTCATTTTGTGTTGTAAAAGCAAAGCAAACTGTTTCAGTAGCAGTAAACAATAAATGGAAAAAAGATACATACTGACTGTCCATAGCAAATATTTCAGAGAAACATTATGGGGATGATAATTATCAAAGACAGATACTTCTGTCAGTATAAATAAGCTTTTTTTTTTTTCTTCTTGTGATACCAGGTTAGTTGTGCTGTCCTTAGTGCAGCAATAAAGTAATGTTTTATGACTAGCCTAATATTGAATTAACCTGCAGAAGATTATCTTATTTAGTGCCTACTCTACCAATTACATATTTAGGATTTGATCCAGGTAACATTTAGGCACTTCTTTTTTATGTAGTCTAATATTCTACTGTATACCTATTTATAAGTCACTGCATTTTCCTTACACAGTATTGGATTATCACCTCAAACATCTACTTCCTGTTTCCACCTTTCTGTCCCTATTAGACCCATAGCCATCTTTCACCAGGATTATACAGCTGTTGATCTGACCTTTATTGTGCAGCTAGACTTCTAGATACTTTCTTGCAGGAGCCTTCCTTATAGTTGGTTGATTTTCTGAAGGTTCTGTCTTACATTAGAACATCTGCTACTGGCATAAATTAGGAGTTTTAATTTTTTTTATTTACAGAACTTAAAACTTTTTCAATTTCAAGGATACATGTGTAGAGAAAAACAGGGATACTCATGTTTTAAAAGGTATACTTTGAAGGATTCTGCTTGTTAAATTAACTACTAAAAAAACAGCTAGAGGAATATTCAGGTACTGAATAAAATGTGATTTTATGAAAGTATGCTTTAGTTGTATAGGCTTGTATTGCTCTAGATATTAACTAGAGATGTCCAAAATCACTGGGTATTTTTGTGGTTGTATTTTTAACAGTTATGGTAATTAAGTTCATAGGACAGGTGAGTTACAGCACACTTGGGCCTTTGCTTATATAAAGTTAATATTTACATTTTACAATATATGCTATAAATATATTGTTTCATATAATGTGTGTGAAAAAAAATTTAAAATACATAAATATGTATAACCCAACTGAACTGTTGTTAATCTAAACCAAAATATTTTATTTACTTCTAAAGGAAATTAAAGAGCCTTCAACTGTTGTTAGTTGAAGGTAATGCTGAGTGTATAAATGAATTCTAGGGTTAAATGATGAACTTTTACAGGGATAGAAACATTGAAACTAATCTCTGTATACTTTGCTTTTTTAATCCAGATACGTGGGACTGCATAGCAACTTGCTTTTTCATAGATACAGCACATAATGTTATTGATTACATTGATACTATATGGAAAATACTAAAGCCTGGAGGAATATGGATAAATGTAGGCAAGTGTGACCAACCTCTCTTCCTTCTAGCCCTAACTTTGATCGCATCCCCACAAAAGAGTTGTGGGGATGAATGTGTCTGTGCTGCAAACTCTGTAGAGCTAGAAAGATCTAGGGCTTGGAAATTCTCAGATGTGTTCAGAATACGTTCAGATGTTTACAATCAAGTCAACACCATGAGATATTTAAATAGAGAAGTAAAGCTTCCCAGTGGAGGTTTTGCAGCAAACATTTCTTACTTGACAAATACTGTATTCTTTTTTGCTATTTTTCTAGGAAAATTGTTCTGTGTGTAAATGCATCCTTGCATTTTTGTCTTAATCTGTTGTCTAATTGGTACTGTGTTTCTAAACAGAAGTTTTGGGAATGAGATTTATATATGACTTGGTGTAAAAGAAAAGAGAATTTAAGTCTTCCATGGTGAAGGAATGGCAGACAAAACATGTGAGTTTACCATTCTGTATAGTAGAAACAGGTCCATCAGTCACCACACCAGTCCTGGCCAGTCACAGAATTCAAGCAGAGCTCCTGAGTAGACCACAGCATATCATACCTTCTGTCTCATAGAGAGAGCAGTGATGCTAGGCTGAAGAAATTATAAGATCAAGAAAACACAATGTGATAAGAAAATAGACTTCATTGTTGAATAAGCAGCTGAACTAATTTTGTTTTCATTTTGCACTGATTCTGAAATTAATTATAAAAATCACATTTGAGTGATACAAATATTTTGTCTCTTGAGTATGAGTCTAGTTATAAGCATTCTTTGTACTTTCACTGTGTGCTTTTGATTTTTAAAACTTTTTTTTTTTTGACAGCCGTTTCCGTTGTATCTTTCTACTCTAGGTCCTCTCCTTTACCACTTTGAAAACTTGGGAAATGAACTTTCTATAGAATTAAGCTACGAGGATATAAAAAATGTTATACTTCAATATGGATTCCATATAGAGGTAAGAAGATGATGCAGTTTGTAATGAATAGTATTGGTATAAACCAGACAAACGGCTTTGAAAAAACCATTACCTTAACTTTAGTTCAACATAATGGCGTATAGTAATAACTACTAGGAGAATTAAATGTTTCTGTGTGGCAAATAACTTGCTTTCCACATTTTTTAAGAAGTGTTTAGATGGACCTTGAAATCTAGTATGTATATAGCAATTTATTTCTTAAGAGAAACTTTTGTATAGTTCTTGTAGAAGAGGTGTTTTGAAAACTGCTGCTTTTTTTCCAGGTGGAGAAAGAATCTGTACTGTCAACTTACACTGTGAATGAACTCTCCATGATGAAATACTACTACGAATGTGTGTTGTTTGTGGTGAGAAAACCAGAATAGAAGTGGTCTGAATAGGTTAATCAGGAAAAAATGTTGGCTTGAAAGCTAGGAATGAGAATGGAATGGACTGGGTGATGTCTGGACACAACCTCAAATCAGTGGTGCCTTCTTATTCCTAATAGGATTTAGATAGTGTCTATTTTCTTAATATCTATTGCTATCCAGACATGTACTATGTCATGCATATTTGTAATATACTTGTGAAAATGGAGTAAGAAATATTCACATACACTGTCTTCATGCTTTGGAATGCATTAAGAATGAAAGCAACAACATTTTCTTGAGAATTAACTTTAATGTTTGCCATAACTAGGTTAATTCTCTGCATATGCTGCCTCATTTTGCATATATTTATAATAATTTTCTTTTTTCCACTTTCTGGTGTTAGTAATGTGTAGACATGCTTACTTTACTAGCTATGTCACATATAGAGAAGTATTTCTAAATGTATACTTAAATTATGAAGTCTGACGCAGTTCAGAAGTGATAAAATTATTCTTGTGAGATGAAATATCCATCAAAGCTGTTAGAACATTTTCTGTGGAATTGATATGAAGTAGATTATTACACAAATTTTAATCTTTTACTGTACCACTCTTAATTTAATCTGAATTTGAAATACTATGTGAAAGCAAAGTACTGGGTGAAGAAAAAGAAGCATGTCACAGAGAAGCAGATTATGTTAACCCCTATTCAAGAATAACACAAATATTGATTAATCTCTTATTGTTGAAACTGAAATACATGATATGCTTTGCTGTCTCAAAAGACATTGAGTCACCTACTTACTGCTTAAGCCAAAACAGTGAAGCAGTATTTGTCTTTAAACAGTTAATAGAAAGTCATTATACCTTAAGCTCTTTCCTGGTTTTTGAAATTTATAACACAGCTGAGTTTTCCATGCTATGTGTAGGTAGTGCAACAGTTAAACATAAATAGTATGTGCTGTAACCTAATCATCCCTACCTAAGTCAGCATATGCAGGCCAGCTGGTAGACAACTTCTTGTAACTTCAGGCACTTTACCCTTGTGACTTAGTGACCTTTTGGTTCCTTAACCTAATGTGGCTTAGGTGAATATTTAATATACAAATCATACTATAGAAGAGGCTAAATATTCTGTCACTTAGAAGTTATGTACATAAGAAAATGTTAATAATTACTGTGCTGACAGGAGGTGTCATGTTAGGTGCCGTTTTGTTAACATTTGTTATTAAGTACCATTATCATCCATTTTCATAAATGTCTTAAAAATATAAAAACATTATAAGGAATCAAGGGGATTTTCATATTTGGTCATAATATCACTGGGCAGTGGCTTATTTGTTTCTCATTATTTTTGTCCCTTTTTTCATGGTGATGTCCTAATTGCATCTCTTTCATAGATCTATTACTGGCTTTTGGATTTTTCCCATTAAGGCCAGAAATTTGTGCCTTTGTTCCTAAATTGAAAGTCTGCAAGGAGGAAAACAATTTTTTTTTTTTAATATATAGTTTCAACACCACATAAGATGGAGCATGCCTGGGTATGTTTTAGTAGTGTGCACCTTTCTGCTCAGAATCTTTATTAAGAATCTTGTCTACTGAAGTTTTCAATTAGAGATTTGTTTAAACTAATCTTTTTTGAACTCTTTCTTCTTTCAGAAAGTGCACCAGTAAGACTTGGCTCCATAAATGAACTGCCAAATTTCTACCCTATTAACGCTGAAAAACTGCTATTGCAACAAGTAGATTAAAAGCCCTTGCACGCCTAAAAATAAAAAGTCCTGTTCCTTTTTCTTGTATAATTTACTTTAATTTTTGAGGGGCTGTGTGGTTCTTTGCTTTTATGCTATTTTTTTTTTGCCCTTAGGTAGAGTAAGATTAGTATTTTGCTTGATTTTCAAGATCCTTGAAATAAGACAAGGCTAGGTGAACGTTGATTATGCTGTTGCTCAGTAGTATATGTATCTGTATTATTGCCCAGTTTCTGCCACCTACCCAGTCTGTACTTACTTGAAAAGTGGTGTTTTTTAACAAACAGGAAATTGAGCTCTTCTGATTGAATGTCAATATCCTTTGTTCTGGTGGTTTTGTCCTTTGCCACCCCATGTTGTCACAAGTGCCATTTTTATGTGCTGTTTTTAGAAAACACATTCTTATTATGTCAGGTATATTGTGATGCTCTTCTGGTTTTAATCTAGAAAATGCCAGCTTTCCCTAATGTTCTCCTTTTAAATTTTAAGAGTTGCATTGAGTTGGAACCAGAATCATCTTGTGAATAAGCTGTATGAATTAGTAGTGTTCTACCTGAAATCTTATTTATGATTTTTTAAAAATACAAGTGATGAATCTTATGCACAGGAATAATACTGAATGTGATCACGTTCTTTTACTCAGTTGTATATGGGGGGGGGAAATGCTTAATGTGTTTACAGCCAAAGCCAAGATCATTTAATTGAGGTCATTATTAAATGGTGTATAGTAATGGGTGTAAAATAGAATTCTGCATAATCTTCACTGTAATACTTTTTTATATGTAGTAACTCTGACAAACGTAAAGTGTCCTGTATTTTAATTTACATGTATCACACTCTAAAATCACTTACCGAAGTAAGAATGGGAAGTTTTGTGTCTCAGTGTGAACTTCCCCGTGCTTTCAGTGTGTATGTAATGGGCTAATTTTTCCTGGACATTAAAGTTTGCAGTATGGCTTGCTCCTGTGTCCGTGGTCACGTTTCTTTTTTGCCTCCTTGTTCTGCTCTCGTTCCCTCAGCCCCCTGTGAGCACGGAGCCGCCGCGCTCCGCGCGGGCGGGGCGGAGGCGTTTTAAACAGAAGCCTG